TTTAATTAGTATTCTAAAGTGAACCACATCTCCTCCTTGTATGTCTTGTTGACAAGAGGAAATAGTTATCTCATTGTTCGATTAGCTGAATCAAAAAAATTCCCAAATCTCTTGAATCTCCATACTACAAACCCGACTGAATCATTCATTAGCACAAGAAAAAGTCAGAACAATGCAATTTGATAGTGTAATCAAATTTTGTTGCATCATTAAGTCAAATGAAATTGTCAAAATTTTAGTGTCAAAATTTGTAGCTACAATATCCTTCTCTCTTCTTTTTTTTGATAAAAACAATAAACTTTTTTTTTTGCTAAAAAGGTAAATGTTTCATTAAAAATGAATAGGTTTTAGGCGAGATTTATAAACCTAGACAATGAAATCCACGGCAAAAAAAAATAAAAACATGAAAGTCTAGTTCGAGTTTTTTTTTTTTTTTTGAGAAAAACAATATACTTCTCTTTGTATATATATTCGATTGTTTTTTTATTATTTTGTTAAAAAAAGTATTTCCTTTTCCAGTTGAGTTTGGTTAGACTCGAATTCTTTTTCTATATATATATTTGATAGTTCCAAAGACCTAAACCTATCCTCATAACCTAAAACTTAAGCAACGATGAAGTCTAACGTAGAAACTCCGACTCCACCGCAACATGTTGCATCTTTTTCGTCGTTTTCGTCGCTACCAGAAGACATCGTTTTGAGTTGTTTTGCTCGAATCCCGACCTTGTACTACCCGAAACTCTCTCTAGTCTCTAAGAGCTTCCAATCTCTAATAATTTCTAACGATCTCGCCAAAGCACGATACGAACTTAAAACCAAAGAAAAGTGCGTTGTTCTCTTTCTAAAGTTGGCGACTCGTGATCATCTCTTTTGGTTCAGTCTCTATAGGACTAAAAACACCGGAAATTTGTTGGTACCAGTGCCCTCTTCTTATATTCCTTACCTACCAATGTTGCAAATATTTACTGGTTCAGAGTTTTACATGTTTGACGGTCGCACGGCTCCCTCCTCTGTCTTTTTTGTTTCGGAAACGCTTAAAAATCGCAAATGGCCTAAAACCCCTAGCATGAAGGTGGCTCGTATGAATACTTTGGTTATGAAGGACCTCGATGAGAAAATATACGTAATGGGAGGATGCGATCCAAACGAATCCACTCATTGGGCAGAAGTTTTTGATATCAAGACTCAAACTTGGGAATCTTTACCAGATCCTGGCCCTGAGCTTCGCTTGTCTTTGTTAAAAAGACTCTGGTGTTACGAAGGAAAGCTTTACGTTATAACCGACAAGAAACACTATGTTTACGATCCGGAACAAGGAAGTTGGGACGTCACGGAGATATGGTTGAGTGATTGTATCTGCCATATAGACAATGTAATGTACCGTTGTTATGAAAAAAGGTGTAATTGGCTTGATTCAAAGCTTCAAGTGTGGAAAGAGGTAAAGGGTCTAGATGTATTGGATACGTATGATAAAAATGATTGCATTGAGATGACTAACTTTGGTGGGAAACTCATAATGTTTTGTGAGAGTCCAAATGAAGGAAGTTGGTGTGCAATGATTAGTCTTGAAAGACGCCAAGACGAGGTTTGGGGTCAGATTGAATCGGTTGATAAGCTAAAATTCCCGGAGTCATCTATCCTGATTCGTTCTGTAGTTGGAAGCATATGATCAAGTCTTCGCAAAGCCTTTAGATTTTTATCCTTGAAACCAATAAGAATTTGTTCAATCTCTTTTGTTTACATCCATAACTATGTAGAATATACTCTTTGGTTTACAAGAATTTTTGTCAGCTTTTTTTCTCACATTCTTTCTTCGACTTTATATGCCTTGCATCTCTCATTTACCTCCTCCACTAAATCTTGTACATTTACCGCTTTTTCAAAGTGCAAGGAACAAAGCCTCCTAGGATAGTGGTAGGCTGGTAGCCGTCAGTTCCACCAGAACACAATGTGATCAGCGCGGGCCGCGGCAAGTCGGCAACATAAAAACAATTAGTTAGAGGTGGCACTGGCGGTTTATATGGAATACTATGGACCCATAAGACCAAGATCAATTGCTAATATATAAAGGAGAAGCCATGTTTATAAAAGGTACAAGGAGGAATGAAGAAAGGACTCATCATTCTCCATTAGAGCATGAACCCGTACGGGTCCCAACTAGCAGTTGAAGGAGATTGCAAAAAGGTGAAGTTGAATTAGCTCTGAATTATTATTTCCAATCTCGTGAGTTTCGACGTCTTTTAGTGTCAAAATTCGTTGCCAGCATCAAGTCAAATAAAAATTGTGTAAGAATTAGAAAAATCGAGATTGATATGATATCTTTAATTAAAGTAAAATGGATAATTTGCAATTTAAAAACGCATACCAAAATGTGTTATTATTAATATTCGGTTGTTCCAAAAACCTAACCCTAACCCTAAGATTGACAAGAACAATGAAGTCCAACGGAGAAGAAGCTCCCATTCCTTGGCCAATATGGTCGTTTTGGTCATATTGAGTTGTCTTGCTCTAATCCCAAACTCGTACTACCCGAAACTCTCTCTCTTCTCCAAGAGCTTCCATTCTCTCATCTTTTCTAACGATCTAGCCAAAGCAAGACACCACCTTTTTTTTGTTGGTTGCCCAGTCGTTATTTCCCTATTGGTTCAGTCTCTACACCGGAAATTTGTTGGTTCCAATACCCTCTCCTTCTTATACTCCCAAATTTACCACTGTTCCAATAACCTAATCGACGGTCGTACTAGTACTCTCTCCTCCGTCTTGTTTGTTTCGAAAACGCTTAATAATTGTAAATGGCGTAAAACCCCTAGCATGAAGGTGGCTCGTATGAATACTTTGTAATCACATTCATTTTAACCAAGGAAAATGTTTGTCCTTTACACCAACTACTATATTTTTGCATGGTCACACATACACAATGTATGTCTACTAACACTAACAAATATATAATCCATGGTAACATATACCAACAAACATAAAATATGTCACAACCAAGATATATGTTATATATGGGTTAAATGGTAACACATATCCGTTTAAAAGGGTTAAAATTCAAATTTTAAAAATTTAAACTCCCACTCAAATATCAACCTAATCGATCCGATCCAATCATTATTATATGTGATGAAAGTTTAGGATTAGAAGAATATTATTTACTCTCATAAAGATTGAGTTACAATATACAAGCATATATATATAGGAATACCATTAAACCTAGTTTCCTAACTAACGTAATCACAATAAGATATATACAAATCTCTAATAATATTCACAATAATATTTTGATCTTATGGATCTTCTAGATCTTTCTACACGCCCCCTCTGGGCTCAAGCCGGGATGAAGTGAAAACGGAAGTAATGGTTTGAGATTGACCATAGAT